TAACGAGATACCACTTCACACTCACTAGGCTAGCTATAATCAGGAAGAGAAATAACAGTAACAAGTGTTGGTGAGGATGTGGAGAAATTAGAACCCTTTCATACACTGCTGGTGAGTATGTAAAATTGTGCAGCTGCTTTGAAAAACAGTTTTGTAGTTCCTCATCAGGTTAAACAGAGTTACCATTTAACCTAGCAATTCCACTGCTAGATATTCAGGAGAAATGAAAACATACATCCATGTAAAAACTTGTATCTAAATGTTCATTACAGCATCATTCATAACAGTCAAAAAGTGGAAATAACCCAAATTGTTCATGTACTAATGAATGGAAATGTGATATAAGCATAAAATGGAACATTTTTTGGCCATGTATAAGAATAATGTACTGATATCTGCTATAACATGGATGAACCTTGAAAATATGCTAAGTGGGAGAAGCCAGTCACAAAAGACCACTTATTGTCCATTCATTTGAAATATTCAGAGGCAAATCATAGAGGCAGAAAACAGATTAGTGGTTGTCTAGGGCTGGAGGTGGGTGAGGATAGGATTGGGGAAGATGGGAAGTGGCTGTGCATGGGATTTTTAGGGATGGTTCCTCAAAATATTTTAACGTTGATTGTGGTGATGCTTGTACAAATCTATGAATGTATTAAAACCCATATACTTGCACATGTCAAATGAGTCAGTTTTATGGTATGTGGATTATATCTCAAGCTGTTACTTAAAGACAAAAAATAAGCTGATTTAATACTGTTAGATTTTTGGCCTCTGGCTCAGATTTAACCAATCTAAAGTAAAAAATTCCCTATTTTTAAATCTTTATTAAACGTTGAAAATGATCACTTGTGGATTTTTATATTTATTTTCCAGTTCCCATTTAATTATATTTCTAACTATATTTTATGACCAATTTTCTAAATCTAGTCCTGTTTCATAAGTAATATACAAGAATATTTTGTCATGTCATCTACTATATAAAATAATAACGATAAGTGTTAACTAATCTATCAAATCAAGGTATACTCTTAATGAAAATCACGGAGAGGAAATTCAGTGTTAATGGAACATGCATTACTCAAGGAACCATGTACTATCCTGTCCTTCTCCCCCACATAGTTTGGGTGCACATGTTTATATATTAATTGTCTAAAAAATAATTTTAAAAAATTGTTTTAATTGTCTAAAAAAAGAATTTGGACCACAAATTATTGGGTTGTTGGAAAAGTCATGGCGCATTTTTGCAACGAAAAACATAGAAAAAATACGTCATGACTTTTCCGACAACCCAATACTTCATATCCCCTTTTAGCTCACAGATTTTTCTTGTGAGAATATTTTTAATTTAGTATTTTAGCCAACTATATCTTATTTTATTAGAATAATCTTACCTGTAATAGACTGGTAGTCCCAAACCAAGTGATTGTTGACCTTAGTATAATTGATATCAGGGTCATAGTCATTACCATGTTTCTTCTTCGTCATAGTAGACAGGAGAGGAGAGTTTTAAATAAAGTTGCCATCCTGTGTGTTCAAAAGGACTTGTCCACTGTTTTTTTCTGCCCCTATGTGTCTATGTGGGCACATTTGGAATAATTCATGTACAGAAAGGAAAAAGTCACCACAGAAACAGGTTTCCCCCCTTAGTTGCCTACTATTCAAAATAGTGTGTTTGAAAGTCTTAATGAAATGAAGGGATTACAAATCTCTTGGCTTCTGTCAGCATTTGTTTTTATATTTGACATTGTTAATGTTAACTTACAGGTTCCTTGATTCTTAGTACCTTTAAAAGATTTTTGAGGGCTGACCGAGTGGCGCGTTGGTTAAGAACTGGCTTGGGATGGCAGAGGGCCCCGGTTCGGATCCCACATATGAGGGCCAGTGACACTGCCCTCTACAGCTAAGATGCTGAACAACAGCTCAACCTGGAGCTGGGCTGCTGTGGGCTGCCATAAGCTACCATGTGTAGCCAGCAGCCAGCATGAGCGGCCAGCAGCCGCCGTGAGTGGCCGTCCAGAAGCCGGCGACTGATCTGTCTCGCCGAGGAAGAGCACAATGATGGTGCCAACTTGGGCCAGTGAAGCAACGTCCTCTACAACTAGACTAAAGAACAAAACAACAGCAACTTGTCTGTTCCCCTTACCCCAATTCCCCACAGCTGTTCTCCCCCAATTCCCCAATAAAATCTTTAAAAAAAAAAAAAAAAAGGTTTTTGAAGTACATAAAGTCAGAGGTCAACTGAAAAGTATAAATCTGAATGATAATCTTTGGAGCCTGAGCACTTACAATCTAGATTTATAGGTTATTTTGTAATTTATTCAGTTTCTGCCCTTCATATTGCATGGTTACATTCACATATTTTCAACTCCTTTTATTACAGTGTGTCATTTCCCTAGAGGTAACTAAAGCATGTCACCTTGTCTCTTTAAGATAGTCTTTCCTTGTTCTCAGCTGAGACATTTAGATAACTATGCTCATCTAAAACTGTCAAGTACTTTGGGGTTTTGCTTAAGTTTTTCCATCAGGATCAATGTAATTTTTAAATAAAAGGTATAAGAGACTTGGAACAAAAATCAAAATAACCAATACTTAGAGGAACCCAATGGGTGACAAATTAAGATGAGGTTTTATCTTCATGACTTTATTTCCTAACAGATGTAACATGAGAGAAATTTATTTCAGAGACCTTACTATGTGTGAGACACTAAACACATGTTGAAAATATCAGCTGTTTGAAAGCTCAAAAATCTGTTACATAACCCCTGTATTGTTCTGAAAAGGATTTCAGGTGGCTGCTTCCAAAAGTATTAAGTGCAGTAGAGTTTTTTCAAAGACATTTATTGTTGCTGTTTCATCTGACTCTTACGTCTATAAATTTAGCCCGGAGGACCCATTATTACAGGTGTACACTTTCTTTTATATAGGACATAGATGACTTAATTTCTAAGTTGATTATTAATAAAAACTATAAATTACAATTTTGGTAAGCTTGATAGAAAATATAGAAGTTACAATGATAGAAAGGATTTTCAGAAAACAAATATTTTTAACAGCTTTATTGAGATAATTAACATACAATACACTGTACACATTAAAGTGTGCAGCTTGGTAAGTTTTGATGTATCATGGTGTTATCACCACAATCAAAATCATTATCATATCTATCACCCTCAAAAGTTTCCTCCATCCCCTTTGTCATCCTTCTCCTACTTCCCAAATAACCACTGATCTCATTTCTGTTACTATGGATTAATTTGCATTTTCTAGAATTTAATATAAATGGACTTACACAGTTTGTGGGGTTTTTGAGATTTATCATTGTTATCACATGTATTAGTATTTGATTTATTTTCAGTGCTGAGTAGTATTCCCTTGTGTTTATAACATCACAATTTGTGTATCTACTCACCTGTTGGTGGACATTTGGTTTGTTTGTATTTTTTGGCTATTACAAATAATGCTGCTGTGAACATTCATGTGCAAGTCTTTTTATGGACATATGCTTTATTTCTTTGAGGTAAATATATACTTAGGAATGGAATAGCTAATCGTATGGTAGAAGTATGTTTAACTTCTATAAAAACTGCCAAACTGTATTTCACCAGCCATATATGAGAGTCCCAATTCCCCACATCCCAACGACCAACCTTTGGCATGGTCAGTCTTTTTAAATTTTAGTCTTCTAATAGATGTGTAGTGGTATCTCACTATGGTTTTTAATTTGCATTTTCCTGATAATTAATGGTATTGAGCATCTTTGCATGTGCTTTCTGGTGAAGTATGTATGCAGATCTTTTGTCCAATTTTTTTATTGGGTTATATATTTTCTTATTTTTGAGTTTGGGAATTATAATATATATTCTATACTGTAGCATAGAATATGCTATATAAAATATTCTATATTGATATATAGTATATATATTTATAAAGGATACAAGTTCTTTATCCAGATATATGCTTTACAAAGATTTTCTCCCAGTGTGTGGCTTGTCTTTTCACTCTTGAAAAGTTTTTTTTAAGAATAGAAATCATATATATTTAAGGTGTACGACATGATTTGATATACATAGTAAAATTATTACTGTGGTCAAATAATTAACATCATCTCCTCACATAGTTACCATTTTGTGTGTGTGTGATAAGAGCATCTGAAATCTGTCTTAGCAAATTTCTAGTATTCAGTACAGTATTACTAACTATAGTCATCATGCTATATATTGATAGATCTTATTCATCCCATATAACTGCAATTTTCATTCTTTTAATCATGCCTTCAGGAGCAGAAATTCTAAATTTTGATGAAGTTTATTATTTGTTCTTTTATGGATTGTACCTTTGCTGTCATAGCTACATAGGAGTTTTTAAAGTTAAAAATATTATTTATAAGAGTTCTATTGCATTGGTTTCTTACTAGCTAATAGTATAAGATGTCATGTTCTCTTGTTTGCATCTTGTGAGTTTTAAGATTTTTTATTTCATTCAAAGGCTAACTCTAATTAATATTATAAAATGTAAACATAAGAACTATGTAATGTGTACATTGGCCCTGGAATTAAAATTTGGACATTTATTTAAAATTTTTATATTGCCTTATGCAGTTCTGCAGTTATTTTATTCAATTCTGCGGATATTTTTTAAATTCTAGGTTTCTCAAAATGTAATGTAGTTCTTGCCATAATTAGGCTCCTTCTCTAAGCTGTCAGAGTATTACTGTTATAGTATTACTACTCCTACCACATAATTCACTGGATATATAGCACTGCAAATAGATTTCAGGAAATAGAATCCAGAAAAAAGAACTTGAAAGTGCATATAGTGCCACAAGCTTCTTTGCTTATAGAGTATGGATGAAAATTTTTAAACGTTGGTCAACAGGAGGGAAATTAATATTCCAAAAGGCAGCTCTGACTTACTAATTTTCTGAACATTTTTTTAAGTTGTGGTGAATAATTATTCCTTCATTAGAAAGATTTTCAGTGGATAACTTTCTTTTTCAGTATTTCCACAGGTAACACCGAAAGGAATTAATGGTATAGACTTTAAAGGGGAAGCAATAACTTTTAAAGCAACTACTGCTGGAATCCTTGCTACACTTTCTCATTGTATTGAACTAATGGTAAAACGTGAAGACAACTGGCAAAAGAGACTGGATAGGGTAAGACTGCTTTTTCTTCCTTTTAAAAACTAATCATATTTTATTTAAATGGATTGAACATTTAAACCATACTAACTTTTTATGGAAAAATCCATTGGTGATGACAGAAGTAGCATGTGTACTACTCCTCTGAAACTTTGTGAGCATCTTAAACTGGTTTTCCTAATGAGATTACCAGTTAAGTATTCAGTTACTGTACAGTATGCATTCCTGATAGATTTTAATATAAAAATTTTTGTAATGTTAATAGTAATGTTTTGGAATAGAAGTGATAAGCCATTTAACATTACCTAGCTTTATTGTGTGATGTGTGAAACTGAATTTAAGTTGTATGAACTATTAATAACGTAAACACCAATTTATAAAGTTAAACGTTAACTTATTGCATTTATACATTATGCTGTTCTTTGATCATTTGTTTCCTGTTCACCTTTTCTGACCTTTGTTTAAACTGCAGTACTGATAATAATATTACAGTATGAATCTTTAGTTTCTAGTGTGAAGTATGGCTTAGTGAATTTGTTTAGTAGGAAAACTTCTGTTTATTATTCAACGTCTGTAAAATAGTAAAATGTTAGAACCGAAAAATACATTAGAGAATTTAGTTCTAGTCCAGTGCCATCATTTTATAGAAGGAACTGAGGCCCAGAGACTTGTCCAGAAGTATTAAGTAGTAGAGTTAGAAGAATTTGACTCTCCTAGATTTCAGCTCTGGATACTAGGCCAGACATCAGCCAGAATCTTCTCATTCATAAGTGAGTCATATTACAGTTTTTTAAGGTCTTATCAGTTTGAGCAGGACACTAAGGAAAGCAGTGTCATCACTGATGTAATGGCAGTATGGCCATAGGATTTGAATATCACTGTGTATTTAAGAAGATCCCTCTGTTTAGAAGAAAAGAGAATCATTCAGAATTCTCAAGTGCAGGTAACAGTAAGCCCTATTGCCTAGCAATCAATATGTATTCTTTGAAAACAGGCAAAGATAACATTCATTTAAGATATAAACATTTCATTATTGTTCTAGAGTCAAACTACTCTATATTCATAGATTTCAGTTCTATACCAGTGTGTATCAAATTGAATTTTTAGAAGATTCCTTGTGCACACAAAAAAGTAATGTAATGAGGAAACAGGACAACCCTTTAAATCTATTAGACTGATGGTTCAAGAGAATCATTCAACTCATCCCAACTAGCTTATTTAAAACTTTTGGTCTTTAGTCTTTTTATCCTTCACTAAAGATATCTTTTGTCATATCTAACCACACTGCCTGAAAAAAATCTATTCATTTAAGATATTTGCTTATAATAATAGACTCACATGTGTGTAATTTCACATGCTTTTTCACTTCCCCCTAAGTCTTTTTAATAATATTGCTGTGCTGTGTGTTTTTGTTCATTTTTTTAAAGTATGTTAATACATACAGTGAAATGCACCAACCTTAAGTGTACTGCTTGATGATTTTTGTATATTTGTATATGCCCCTGTAACCACCACTCAGATTGAGATACAGAATTTCTGTAGCACCCTAAAAGGTACCCTCAGTCCCCTGCCTAATCATGCCATCACCTTAAGAGGTGACCACCATTCCAACTTACAGGATCACAGATTAGTTTTGTCTGTTCTTGGACATCATATAAATGGAATCATACAATGTATACTCTTGTGTCTGTCTTTTATTTCCCCCTCAACGTTGACCGTGAGATTTATTCATGTTGTTACATTTAGTGGTAGTTTATTCTTTTTTATTGTATAGTATTTCATTGTATGACTTCAATTTCATTATCTGCTTTTCCTGTTGATGCACATTTAGGTTTTTGTATTTGGCTATTGTGAATAAAGTTGCTGTGAACATTCTTGTACATATCTTGTACATATGCACTCATTTCTCTTGGGCATATCCCTAGGAATACAATTGTTGATTCATGGGGCACGTGCTTAGTTTTAGTGGATATTGGCAAATAATTTTCTAAAGTGGTTATATCAGTTTAAACTCCCACTAGCAATTGGTAAGAACTCCAGTTGCTCTTCATCTTTGACAACACTTGGTACTGTCAGTTTTTTATGTGTGTTTATTTTGTTTTGTTTTTTAATTTTTAGCCATTCTGGCGGGTCTGTAGTCCCATTTTTCTCTTGAGTATACAAAAAGCATTTAATCGTTGGATCTAATGAACTGATTCATTGAGATGCACTAGTTTTATTTCAAACAGGGTATTTGGAAATAGTTAGCTTTGTATGAGTTCAGTGTAGACTTTTTAGGCCTTAAATATTTAAGGTAAAGCATTTGAACTAAGCCATTCTGTTCTTTATAAGATTGTTGGACTTCAGTATCAGATTTGATGCAGTGCACCCCATTATAGAAATAAGTTTGAGATTGGCCAGCCTTTTTCTTTTAAGTGTTGACCTTGGGCTTTTTTTAACCTTATAGAGTTGTAGACACTGTCTATAAAAGGAGAGGGCTAAAGTAGAAATCTAAGCTCTTTTTCAGTTCTAAAATAGTTCTAACCAGCAATAGGAAAGTATAAAAAATGTATCTTTCTTAGAATTATTTTAGCATTCATTAATTCCATTTATTTAATTATTTTCTTCCTGGGATCCATTATATTTCTTTCTTTATAACAAAATAAATATTGCTTTTATTGGGGGGAAACAAGCACATGAATATATTGTAGGCATTTCTCTGGTACTAATTTATCTTTTTAAACATGTAGCTACTTTGATAGTTACTGAATTCATTGAAATACATAATCTACCTATTAGGTGATCTTAGTGGTGATTAAAATGGTAGCTTGTGTGTAATATGTAGCCTAGAAAAAAGTGTTTTCTTGGGCATAATAATACTCATTTTTCATAGGAGTGGAGTTATTTTTTGGCCAAATAGTAAAATTTTGGTGAAATGCAGAGAAAATCCCCACTTCAAATGATAAATTTTTCACTTGCTTTCTTTTAAAAATAGGAAGCTGAAAAAAGAAGAAGACTAGAGGAAGCATATAAAAATGCTGTGACAGAACTTAAGAAAAAATCCCACTTTGGAGGACCAGATTATGAGGTATAAAGTTATATTTTGATGTTAGAAACAGAGACACATAGGCCATATCTGTCACAAAAGTGATTAATTTTTAAATAATACTTTTTAACCTTTAAATATTCTAAATATATAATTCTTCAATATTTATTTTAGTTAAGTGTATATTTCATAATATATAAAGGCTAGGCTCAGGCCGGCCGAGTGGCGTGTTGGTTAAGAGCTGGCTTGGGACGTCAGAGGGCCCCGGTTCGGATCCCACATATGAGGGCCAGTGACACTGCCCTCCACAGCTAAGATACTGAACAACAGCTCAACCTGGAGCTGGGCTGCCGTGAGTCGCCAGCGATGGCGTAGGCTGCAGCCCCTGCTGCAGTGGGTTGCCATGGGCTACTGTGTGTAGCCAGCAGCCAGCGTGAGCGGCTAGCAGCCGCCGTGAGCGGCCATCCAGAAGCCGGCGACTGATCTGCCTCGCCCGGGAAGAGCGCAATGATGGTGCCAACTTGGGCCAGTGAAGCAACGTCCTCCACAACTAGACTGAAGAACAAAAGAACAGCAACTTGTCTGTTACCCTTCCCCCAATTCCCCAATAAAAATCTTTAAAAAACAAGACTAGGCTTACTCTAAAATAGATTTTTTTTTTCCTACAAAGTTTAGTATAGGCTTTAAAAGGCGCATTATTAGACCTGTCCATTTTATAGGACAAGTTTTTATCTCACCTGTGAGGATAACTTTTAATGTTACCTTCTAACTAGTTTTTCTTTAAATGAAAGCAACCGGTGGAGGAAAAACCTGAGTACTTAATACAGACAAAAGATTTTAGTCTGTGCTATATATTGTGAGGTCTTATCCACAGCAGAGCAGGAGCTGTTCCGATTGCCTTGCCTTTATGTTTGAAAATGTGTGAAACCAACTTCTTTCCCTTTTTTATTTGTTAAGCAATTAATAAAAATCTTCCTCTCCATATACACACACATATATTAAAATTTTTTAAGCTATTTTTCTACCTTTTTTTTTTTTTAAGATTTTATTAGGGAAGGAGAACAGTGTTGGGGAAAGGGAACAACCAAATTGTCCTTCAGTCTTAGTTGTGGAGGGCACAGCTAGCTCAGCTCCAAGTCCAGTCACCACCTGGATGCCTGTTGGCAGCTCGCAGTTGCTTAGCTCAAGGTGCCGTGTTCAGTCTTAGTTGCGGGGAGGGGAAGGCCAGCCCGCCATCCCATAATAACCTTGTTGTTAGGAGCATGTGCTCTCACCAGCTGAGCAATCCTGCCACCTGTTGGCAGCCCAGCTCGGGCGCAGCTCACTGGCCCATGTGGGAATCCAACTGGCGACCCTGTTGCTCAGAGCTCACGCTCTTAACCAACTGAGCCACTCGGCCAGCCCCTCTACCATATTTCTTTAGAGAAAAAAAAGTGTAAGAAATATATCTAATAATTGTCATTAACGTTGTTGATATTCCTGAAAAGAACATTTTTTTAAATGGAGCAGCAAGGACTATAAGGACAGAAGTAGAATGATAAAATAGTTATAATTAGATTATATTTAAGAAAATAGAAGAAAAATTTCTCACCACTTTTATTCTAGAAAGGAATAAAAAGAGCTATTGACTATTTTTATGTTGGAATTGATTGAGGGAAAAAAGCTGCTATTTTTACTTTTTAATGTTGGAATTAAGGAAAAATAAAGCTGATATTGACTGAATATTTTTTATGATGGAGTTGATATCTTAACTGTGGAAATCTATAATGATAAGACTTGAGCTATAATATTTTAAAATCATTAAACTGTCAATTCAGTTCTTCTGGAATGTAAAAAGTTATGTAATTAGCTATTCTCTGGGGTTTTAAAAACTAAATTACCAAAATATAAGCTATTTTAAGTTTTATTCTGAAGCTAAGCAGATTGTTTTGCTATTTTAGGTTTATTTGGGGGTGAGATTTCATTCTTCTTTATGGCCGAGTAATACTCCATTGTGTAAATGTACCACAGTTTCTTAATCCAGTCGTCTACCAATGGGCATTTCGGTTGTTTCCAAGTCTTGGCTATTATGAATAGCACTGCAGTGAACATAGGAGTGCATATGGGACATATGCTAAGTGAAATAAGTCAGATGGAGAAAGACAAATACCATATGATCTCACTTATATGTGAGATCTAAAGAACAGAATAAATGAGCAAAGTAAACAGAAATAGTCTCAGAGATATAGAGGAAAAACTGATGGTTGCTACATGGGGAAGTGGGGTGGAGATGAGGGAGAAGGTGAGGGGATTAGAAAGCACAAATTGATAGCCACAATGTTGCCACGGGGATATGAAAGACATTTTGGGGAATATAATCAATAATGTTGTAAAGATTTTGTAAGGGTGTCAATGGGCACTTGTCTTTTTAGGGAGACCACTTCATGGATGGGGTAGATACCTGACCACTGTGCTATACACCTGAAGCTGAAGCTAAATAATATTGAATGTCATCTATAATTTAATATACATATAGTCATGGGATGTGGAGTACAGCATAGGGAATAGAGACAATGGAATTGTAACAGCTGTATACGATGTCAGAGGGGTAGTAGATTGGGGGAGGGGGATTATCACTTTGTGAGGGGTGTAAATGTTTATTACATTGTTTTGTACACCTGAACTAATTAATAAAAAGGTTTATTTGGGGGGATACTATCAACTTTTAAAAATTACCTTATGTTAT